ATCTGTAGATTACCTGACCCTAAAATGAAAGGCACTTGACAAGTCATAGTGGGGAAATGAATGCTATTTCACCCTGCAGTTCACCTGACCCTAAATACTGCTGCTGATCCATTTTCAGAAGCATTAAATTCAATTTCAAATTTGCAGTCATTTAAAACATCCAAGGAAGAAGAGAGTGATAAAATGGCTTATTCAAATGAATCAATCTCCTGTTTAACTATGGAAAATTCTCCAAACCCAAAATTTCCATAAAGCTGCAGAAGTCATAAACACTTAGAAAAATTAAATCTCCCTGTTTTAGGAAGAGAGAGATCAAGATACAGTTTCACAGCTGCCAAACCATCCCACAGCACCATTCCCAAGAAATAATGCTGTATTAAAAAAATTATTTAATGTTCATATTTTCCTACCTAAAAACTGTACTTCTCAAAATATTCTTACTATTCTATGAGAGTAAACCACTAGATAACTCTGAAATTTTTTCTGCTTGAAAATTATATTCATGAAGACATGGTATTTTCTAGGTGAAGCAGAGAGAGTGGTTGACCAGGCACACTTCCTACTGACATACATATCTTCTCTCATTTGCTGAGCCCTCTTTTTGGCCACCTTATTGCTGCTCTTTATCCTTATCAATAAATAAAATCATTGAATAAGAAATGAGAGGCACATGACTGAGGTGGGTTCTGCTGCAAGAGAAATACTAGTGGAGGGCATAGTTAACCGAAGGATGTAGAGAAAGTGACACTATGATAATCTGTCTTGGGTTCATGATATTTGCCCGTGACATTGGATGCTACTCAGTGTCAGGATTATTTTTTTTTCCCTTTTAATTTTAAGATAATGGATTATACCATGACAGTACAGTGTTTATTCACAAATGCTGTAAATATTTTCCTCTTTAAACCAGAAAAGATGCTTGGATATGTCCTGCACTGCTTTAAAACCCATCCTCCACAGTGTGTGTGACGATGTTCTTTTCCTGTCTGCACACTCTCATTTGAGGATGGTGTAGATTTCTAGAATTGTCTCGGTTGGAAAAGACCTTGAAGATAATCCAGTCCAACCATTAACCTCACAGTGACAGTTCCCAGCTACACCAGATCCCTCAGCGCTATGTTGACCCTACTCAAACACCTCCAGGGATGGGGACTCCACCACCTCCCTGGGCAGCCCATTCCAACCCCTAACAACTCCTTCTGGAAAGAAATGCTTCCTAATAGCCAGTCTAAACATTCTCTGGTGCAATTTGAGGCCATTCCCTCTTGTCCTATCGCTTGTTACTTGGTTAAAGAGACTCATCCCCAGCTCTCCGCACCCTCCTTTCAGGGAGCTGTAGAGGGCGATGAGGTCTCCCCTCAGCCTCCTCTTCTCCAGACTAAACACCCCCAGTTCCCTCAGCCGCTCCCCGTACGACCTGTGCTCCAGACCCTGCACCAGCTCCGTTGCCCTTCTCTGGACACGCTCGAGTCATTCAATGTCCTTTCTGTAGTGAGGGGCCCAAACCTGAACACAGGAATCGAGGTGCAGCCTCACCAGTGCCGAGTACAGGGGTCAGATCCCTTCCCTGTCCCTGCTGGCCACGCTATTGCTGACACAAGCCAGGATGCCATTGGCCTTCTTGGCCACCTGGGCACACTGCTGGCTCCTGTTCAGCCGGCTGTCAATCAACACCCCCAGGTCCCTCTCTGACTGGCAGCTCTCCAGCCACTCCTCCCCAAGCCTGTAGCACTGCTGGGGGTTGTTGTGGCCCAAGGGCAGCCCCCAGCATTTGGCCTTATGGAAACTCCTCCAGTTGGCCTCAGCCCATGGCTCCAGCCTGTCCAGGTCTCTCTGCAGAGCCTCCCTGCCCTCGAGCAGATCAACACTCCCACCCAACTGGGTGTCACCTGCAAACTGACTGAGGGTGCACTCGATCCCCTCGTCTAGATCATCAATAAAGATGTTAAACAGGAGTGGCCGCAAAACCGAGCCCTGGGGGACACCACTCGTGACCGGCCACCAACTGGATTTAAGTCCGTTCACCACAACCCTTTGGGCCCAGCCATCCAGACAGTTTTTTTCCCAGCAAAGCCTGTGCTCATCCAAGCCATGAGCAGTGATTTTTGCCAAGAGAATGCTCTGGGAAATGGTGTCAAAGGCCTTACTGAAGTCAAGGTAAACAACATCCACACCCTTCCCCTCATCCATTAAGTGGGTTACCTTGTCATAGAAGGAGATCAGGTTTGTCAGGCAGGACCTGCCTTTCATGAACCCATGCTGACTGGGCCTGATCCCCTGGTTGCCCATTATATGACTTTTAATGGCACCTGAGATGACCTGCTCCATGACCTTCCCTGACACCAAGGTCAGACTGACAGGTCTATAGTTTCCTGGATCCTCCTTTCTGCCTCTCTTGTAGATGGGTGTCACATTTGCCACCCTCGAGTCCAATGGGACCTCCCCAGTTAGCCATGATTTCAGGTAAATCATGGACAGTGTCTTGCTGAGCACATCTGCCAACTCCCTCAGCACCCTTGGGTATCACCCATATGGTCCCACTGACTTGTGTGCATCCACGTGGTGCAGCAGGTCTCTGACCACCTCCTCTTCAACTGTGCTGACCTCATTCTGCTTCCCCTCCCCATCTCCCAACTCATGAGGCTGGGTGTCCAGGGAACAGCCAGTTCCACTGCTAAAGACTGAGGCAAAGTAGGCATTGAGCACCTCAGCCTTTTCCTCATCCTTAGTTACCATGTTTCCCTCTGCATCCAGTAGGGGAGGAAGATTTTCTCTAATCCTCCTTTTGATGTTAACGAATTTATAGAAACATTTTTTGTTATCCTTAACAGCTGTAGCCAAGTTGAGCTCTAGCTGTGCTTTGGCTCTCCTAATGTTCTCCCTGCATAATTTCACGACTTTATAGTCTTCATGAGAGACCTGGCCTCTCTTCCAAAGGTCGCAGATTCTCCTCTTGTTCTTGAGATCCAGCCAAAGGTCCCTGTTTAGCCAGGCTGGTCTCCTTCCCCCCCTGCTTGTTTTTCGGCACATGGGAGCAGCCTGCTCCTGTGCCTTTAAGACTTCTCTCTTGAAGTAGATCCAGCCTTCCTGGACTCCCATATCCTTCAAGGCAGCCTCCCAAGGGATTTTGCTAATCAGTCTTTTGAACAGGTCAAAGTTTGCCCTCCAGAAGTCTAAGGTGGCAGTTTTACTAACTCCTCTCTTTGTTTCTCCAGGGATCAAAAACTCAATCATCTCATGATCACTGCACCCTAGACGGCCTCCAACCATACCTTCCCCACAAGCTCTTCCCTGTTCGCAAGAAGCAGGTCCAGGAGGGCACCTTCCCTGGTCGGCTCACTCACCAGCTGTGTGAGGAAGTTATCCTCCACACATTCCAAGAAACTCCTGGATTCTTCCTTCTCCACTGTATTGTGTTCCCAGCAGATACTGGGGAGGTTAAAGTCCCCCACAAGTGACCACGAGATTTGCTCCCAGCAGAGAGTCTGTATGTCACCCAGCTGACTTTAATTGGGAAGAATTGTCCCTGATTTTATAAAAGCTGAATGTGTTTGCAGCTGAGATGGTGATTCTCAGATTCGTCATACAGAAAAGCATGAAACAATACATTGCGGAGGTTCACCAGGGTCCACAACAAAAATGGAGAGGAGCATGCAATCAGGTTCAGACCCTATCTTTACAGGGAGTTTTACTCCTTTTCAGATTAAGCATTCCTCCCCAAGGAAAATGTGTTGGTTATAAAACTAATCTTCAGGTTCTCAGAACAGATGTGTACTCTCAGCTTCTGTCTTCAGCAGCAGGAAGTCTGGGGACATTGCAAGAGGCAAACAAATGAGATGCCCTGATTGTTTTCCTTTATTTTGCATTTATATATTTACACCTTTCTACTGCATTTGTTTATAGAGCATTTGTGTGGAAACACTGGTGCCAAAGTACACCTAGTGAGCTTTTTATAGAAAAATCAGCCTATATCTTGTGTTCACTGGGTGTCTGAGCTGAAAAAGGACACGTGTGAGTGGGCATGAGCAGGGAAGACATAGTGCTGGAGTGGGGTGCACACAGGGCATCCATTGATGGTTCTTTTCACAAACCAGCCAAGCAACAGGCCACTCTAGTGAGTGCTTGCCTACACTACACAGAGGACAGCAGCCACACAAGGCATGGAGTTTTTAAACTCTGCAGATCTTTGTGGTGTCTGCCCAAACAGATAACCTTTGTTGCCCTTTATGCTTCCTTGGCATTACATTTGTCTCCTGTCTTGATAGTGTGTTTTCAATGTTACTTCTCCCTGTGTATAAGGAGAAGCACAATACTAGGATAAATACCTGAACTGTTAAATACCAACCTAAAAGTTTGGCTGTCACTATCTTCATACACTCATATGGCTGAGTCAGAAAAAGAAAGCTGTCATAAAAGCTTTTCATTATTAAAATCTGAATATACATATTACTACATAATATCAGTGAAAGCACTTTGGTAAGTCTATACTGAAGTCTTTTAACAATGCTTTATCTGGAATTTCTTGTTCACATTAAACTGCTCATTTAAGTGGAAAAACACATTTTAGTTAATGTGATGAAAAACAATTGTTTCTCATTTTGAATGTGTGTGATGACATTCTTAACTAGGAAGCAATAATCAGTGATCTATGAAATTAGTATTCATTAGGCTGGCACACAAGCTTCTAGAAAAAGTATAAAAATAACAAAACATTAAAGAAGAATGTTCTCTCATAGGTGATGTTTTCTATGGAAAAATGAGAAGCAGAGAACATGCTCACTGTTTATGATCTGATCAGTTGATAAACAATTCATGTTTATGAATTGTTGAATTGTTGAATTATTCATTATAAATGGCTGAATTATCAAACAGATGGAATGAATGGTCCTTTTAACATAATCTGTGTATTTGTTTACTGTAGCAAAAATATGAGAACTGCCTAAAGTATGAGAAACATCTTAAAGTTAACAAGAACTGCAGAGACCTTTAAAGATACTTACATCACTTTCATGGCCTTCTCTTAGATTGTATGTGAGATCATGCTGTATATCTTCAACAAACTTGTGAGCGTACTCGGGGTAAAGGTCAAGCACTTCAAAGAGGCCTTTGAGGATAATGCATTGGAGGTCACAGTATGTTAGAGCTTTAACATCTGCATTTGTTTTAATAACTTGATCCCTAATGGATAGGTTTGCTCCAATTAAATCTCCTTTACCTAAAAGAAAACATGAAAATACATCTTCAAAGTATGAACTTTTTACTCCTTTTTCGAATCATAAATCTGTTTCAACATAATTACTAAATCTTAAATCCCATTGTTACCACTGTATTGTTTAATTAATAACATTCTAATGGATCTTTGACTAAAAACTGTTGTGGTTTGGTGTTTTGTTTTTTTTTTTTTCTTTGCAGGTGCAATCTTATATGTAATTAATTGAAGGTACAAAGACTAATTTTCAGACAGATAATTAACTAACTGATTTAAGGGAGCAATCAAGTAAATACATATAAAATTAAGATTTACACTGGTAATTAATAGCAGGTGAGACTTTGGTTTTCAAAAAGTGAACATTATAGCTACACTTCATAATGTATCTTAGTTGTATAGGCTATTAATACATGTGTAGCTCAATGGCACTTCTTCCAAGAGGAAAGAATGAATTCTTACGATATTATATTTTCATTTATGGGCAAGAATGCCTTGGAATACTGAATGTATTAAAAACCACAACTGGCCATATATTTAAAAGCACAACAATTTTATAATGAGATGCTTTCACAAACATCTGATCTGAAGTATAAAGCAGTCATTGAAGGAGAGGTCTTCCCCAAAAGTTAAGGCTGATGGTCTTTGTTAAAGACCCAGACAGTGTGATGGAGTGCATTTTGGCAAGTATATGGACAACATTAAATTAGGGAGAGTGGTTGATATGCTTAAAGGCAAAGCTGCTATTCAGAGGGACTTCAGTGAATAAGAAAAGGAGTGACAGAAACCTCAACAAAAACAAATGCCAAGTCCTGCACCTGAGATGGAAATCCTCCCTGCAACTGTATGGGCTGAGGACTGGACCAGCTGGAAGGCAGGTCTCTGGGAAAGGACCTTGGGGTCCTTGTGAACAATAAGCTGAACATGAGCCAACAATTTGCCTTTGCAGCAAAAATGTCCAAGAACCTCGTGTGCAGCATTAGCAAGAGCATCAGGAAGTCCCAGATAGTGACTCTTTCCGCCTATATGTTGCTTCTCGTATCACAGCTGGGGTACTGTGTCTAGTTTTGGGCTTCCCAGTACAAAACAGAATATTGACATAGTAGACTGAGTCCAGAAGAGGCCACTAAGATGAGCAGGGACTGGAGAACATAATGTACAAGGAAAGGCTGAAAAAAATGGGTATTGTTACACCTTAAGAAGAGAAAGCAAAGGAAGGATATTATTGCTGCCTTCAATAGCCTAGGGAAAAAGTGTAGAGAAAAGTTGTCTTCGGAGTGCGACAGAATGTACTGGGCACAAGTTGTAACAAAATAAATTGTGATTAGAGATCAGGAAATGAAAGTCACCAGGAGGCTGGTCAAACAGGCTGCCCAGAGAGGCTGCGCAATCACCATCCTTGGAGATGTTTAAAATTTGCCTGGACATGGCCCTGAGGAATCTGAGCTAAATTAGCTTTAAGCAGGTTAAGGTTGGGTGGCTTCCAGAAGTCCCTTCCAAACGTACATTATTCTGTGATTAGTAAGTAAGGAGTGTAAGATCTGAAAATCGGCCTAGCATGTGATTCCAACTGGATATTACACAGGAAATGGTGATCTTGAAGGGTAAGTTAAACTAAGCAGCCAACCATCCCTGAAGCTGCATAATAAGACAATTTTATACTTGAAAATACTACTTGTAATTTGTTCTATTTACAAGGTTCTTGAACAACTTTCTCAAAAGACCTTATCATAAACCCAGAATAGGGAGGGTTTTTATTTTAAGCTAGGAATAGACATAAACTTATGCTGCTTTGGGGTTTCTTAAAAATGGCAATTGGTATAAATGAGAGCTCATATTAGTTTAAGGAAAGGTAAATCTGATAGATGGAAGTAACATTTGTCACTGCTCATGAAATGATGCAATTTTTACACAATCAAATACAGTGTGAAGCTAAGCATTCATTTACTTTTAGTTTTTACTGTAAGTATCAAACACTCTCTAGATTTCTCTGATTATACTGAGTAGAGAGCTGGTAATGTTAATCTGTTGCTGGCTGTGTAAATATGGACAAAAGAAAAATTATTTCAAATATCCCAAAACTGATCTTTAAACATCTTAATTAGAAACTTTTTAGGCACATGAACCTAAAATATTAGTATAAATAATGCATAAATAATTTGGAAAAAATGTTAGAGTTGTATTTGATTGGAGTTACAGTGTTTGATGATATGTTGTCATCCTCAAAAACGCTACAATTGATTTGGTAATGCTAATGTATGTTTATTTTCAAATGAAAATCATGTAGCAAAGGCTGAAGGTAGTAAACTGAAGTTTCATGTAGAATTACAACAGCAGCACAATTGGACCTTGAATATCAACATTTGTTACATAAACAGAATAATGTAAGTTATCCTTAGTAGCTCTTTCTTTTTCATTGGAGAATAAAGTTATTTATAAATGTTTATGCAGACACATCTATTTGTTAATATATCTGGGACATGTGGTCAGAGTTATAAATTTATTCTCTTTATGGATATCTTTTAAATCACTTATGGCTAATATTTTAAAATAAATCTAAGATGTATGCTCAAATGGTACATAACTGTTATATTAAAACATATTTTCATATAAAAGATATTCTAACCATTATTATTAGATATCAAGTAATAGTCTCAAGGAGAATCAAACAGCTGTATTTAATCAGAGCATTTCATTGCGTTTTTGCTGTATTGCTTGTTAGTGAGAATGGTTCAGTAAACAAAAACTAATCCACTAGAATAATAATCATGACAGAATTATAAAATAGTGGTCTGGGAACTGTAAGTAACTCAGCATTGTGAGGGAAAAAAACCTGCTCTCTTGGATTTACATCACATCAGTAACACAGTTTCTCATAGGGACCTACAGGTTTGATGCATTCACCTTCTTCTGGTGTTAATTAGGTTTAAATGGTGAAGCTCCCATTCACCATAATGAAACATTATTTCATTCTATTATATTTTTGCATTACAATTTCATTAACTTTTCTCAGAAATCCATGAATCTCTTTCTTCTTGTTTTCACTGTCACCATTACACAATGATGCTTTCATTAACATTTTCAGAAGTACCTGAAAATGGAATAATTAATGAAATCATAATTCCAATGGGGGCAGCTCTTGACCTTTTGCTATATTTAAGCTTAGGATTTTTCTAAGCCATATTTTATAGCTTTGCTATCTGATACAATAAAATCAAGGCATTCAAAAACTTCCTAATTACAAATGAGTGGCAGTGTGATGTGGGCTGTCAAACTAATAAAATTAAAGAGTTATGAAATAAATAGGACATGTATCACATTTATATTCTAAAAAAAGACCAATCATATGCATGCTAGTGAAATAAAGGAAATTCAATTACAGAAGACCAGAAGCTTGCATTATCAACAGTCTAGAGCAATCCCACAAAACAGGAAGGAAAGCAAAAAAGGAAATGTTCTTTTTAACTCTGCTTTATAGGAACATTAAAAGTTATTAGAAAGTACAATGCATTTAAAACTAAAAAGGAATTAAAATAATAATAAAATAATTCTTTAAATTTAGAGCAAAATAGTATGTTTTACTTTACCAAAATACTTTATCAGCATTAACTCAGACAAGTCTAATCATACTTTAGCTGAAGATAAAGGGAATTTCTTTCTTAGGCATTAGATTGAGGCCAATCACTGAAATTTACAAACAGAGATGCTTAACCCTAGATAAGTCAAAGCAGTCATCTAGCAAACAAATCATCCAAATTTATTAGAACAGAACTTCCAGCCTTACTCCGTTCTAATATACTCAGATGACTGCTGGCAGCATCAATCAGCATCAAGAAGTATCTCTGTGGGGAGCAGTGCCAATAATTCTTGGTTTTCATCACATAGATGTCCTGCAAGGAGTCTTCATATGCACGCCTCAAAGAATGAGAGTAGACTCACATTGCTTTCTTTCGTTTGAGAGCATTAGTGGGAGCACTGCCTAGCCACTAATTTTCATTAAAGATTTAGGAACTAATAACCAATGTCCTCTGAGGTGTCAATACTGTCATCAAATATAGTTGGAAGTAGCAATTTGTATCAAAAAATAGCAGGTACCTCCTTACATGCAAAGGAGAGAGAATAAATATAAGAAAATAAGGATATAAGTAAAATAAGGATATAAGTGAAATATTGCACAGGTAACACTTTAGCAATTGAAAGCTCCTTCGGGCAAAAGAAAAGAAAGTTTTAACTAAAAAAAAAAAAAAAAAAAAAAAAAAAAAAAAAAAAAAAAAAAAAAAAAAAAAAAAAAAAAAAAGCTCAGGGATGTCCATAGATTATGAATAACAGATTAAAATCAGAACAAATTATTTCTCATCAGACTACTAGGACACACTAAGCCATCAGTTAATAGTGAAGGTCATCTACATTGGCAAACCATTCTTTTTCATTGATTAGAAGCATACCAAGAATTGCCAGCACCGTGCTGTCCTTCAGAACTTCCATGGAACCTGAGCACACAAAGTAGATCGCTTGCAGGGCATCTCCCTGCCGGAGGAGGTATTCCCCAGGAGCACAGAAGGAGGTTTTGATATGCAGAGACAGAGACCTGAGGCAACCACGGCTGGCACACTCAAAAAGGGAGAGCTGCAAAATCTCTTTGTTCAAGTGCATGGTGATGTCTGAACGTAGCTCGTCTGGGAAGTCTTTTAAAAGCTGTCCAGAAAAGAGACAAAGGGGTGAAAAAGAGAAAAAGTGTAAAATTGTTTCCTCTTTTGCAGAAGTGATCCGATTTAGTAGTGCTGCACATGTCGTACTTATGCAAAGATTTTCCTTTGATAAGACATGTGCTATGTCTTAATAACTCTTTATGCTGATAAACACTGATAAATTCCAGGAAAAACACGAATAAAAATATGTTTTTATACAGAAACAAGGTCAACACCACTGTTTGTAGGAATTCCCCCTAATGCACAAGTTCTTCTCAGCTGTTAGAACACAGTAAGCTGTTTGTGTATATTACTACTTCTTCTGTAGTAAAACCACTAAAAGAAGAATAACTGAGAAAAACCTCTTTTTGGTTTTTTTTTTTTTTTTTTTTTGTTCTTTGTTTAATGGCGCAATTGGACAGTGAAGAAGATGTGGGAAAGGAATGGAGACAAAGTGCATGTTTAGTGGGAGTACCTATAGAAATTAAAAGACCATAAGGTCTTCCTATTTTTCCTTTATCTTAATTTCAGGGAAATGTAGCCTAGCCAACACATAATGACATCTGTGTAAGTTTTACAGATCTGCTGAAGGATGGCAAAATTGAGAGAAGCATCTTTCTGCTTAATGACAATCTTCTGAACATGAGATGTAACTGATCAAACCATCTTCCCTTTTGTCAAGGCACCACAAAAATTTCAGGTGGAGATTTTTTTTTTTTTTTTTTTTTTTTTAAAAAAAAAAAAAAAGTTTAATGGTGCTCTGAACCATGCAAGCTGTAAGTCCACAATCATAGTTTTCTTTGTAGTTTGAGGGGATCTGGCATCTGAGCAATACAATCAGCCAACACTTGACCAAGTGGGCTTAGACAAGGCAGTTTGTGGATGGAAGGCAAATCATGAAATACTGATGGTCTCTCCAGAGGCTGCTGTTGTAGTACGACAGTCACTCAGTTTCAGTACAACTAAAGGTACAGAAGCTGAAGTGATCCTTAACCAAACCTGGGAAAGCTTTGACATCTAAGTGGCTATTGTACCTTTGTAAATCTTACTAGACACCTTGTGTTGCTAGGATGCTGGTGAAAATTTCATTCTTTGTGCTATGCACACCACAAAAATAATTTATCAGGAAAAGAATGTTCTCAGGCCAAATCTTTCTGCTTATTTCCACATCATCTTTAGAGGCCACTGAGTTTTATAATGGCATATATAACAAGAACTCTGAGGGGAATGGTTCTTTCAAATAACACTCCAGTTGAGAGAAACCATTTTTTCTTATGGAGTACAGTAATATATAACCTGGATAAGTCATTTAAAACAAGCAAGCAGAGTCACAACCAGAAGTCTGTCTTTTGAATTCACTCATGTTACATTCTGCAATATTAAAAAAAAAAAAAAAAAAAAAAAAAAAAAAAGAATAACATAAAAATTCAGGCTAAACCATTTGTTTAAAGTATTGCAAAGGATTAAAGAAAATGAAGAAGGTGGGAAAGGGCAGTAAAGAAGTGTGTCCTTTAAGAAAAGACTGAAAAAACACGGTAGAATTTTTTGTTTGGTGAAAAGCAAAACTGCTCACTAGGGTGTTTCTGCTGGCACCATCCAAAAGGTTTCTGATACATGCTTCTTCAGCATTTCAGAATTATGGAGGACTTTGAATTTTTAATATGTGATATGATGTTCCAATCCAGATTTTTCAATATTATGCTCTCTTCTGGGATAATGCAGCTTTATTTTTAAGCATGCTCTTTTTTATATGTAACTTCACACAAAATGCAGCATCAGAAATGGAAAACTACCCCCCTCCCTGACTCTAAGTCCATAGTCAAAACCATCAAACACACAACCTCTCTTGTTTTGTTACCTCATTGGAATCAATTCCATTATTGACAGACCACGTGGTTTGGAAATATTCAAGCATCCTTTGCTTTAGCTGCTGTGGCAGGTGATGGACACGTATGAAGTCCTTCAGATCCTTGGTTCTTGTGTGATAAAGGGACCATCTGGAGTACATCCTCTGAATTATGGCAGTCACATTGCCAAACACCAAGGCATGCATCAGAGCTAGGGAGGACAGAAATTATGTGCAGTGTGGAGTGACTTGTTGATCATTAAAACATAACACAGAAAATAAACAGGATCTTCACAGAAAACCAGTTTCCTGATTGAGAGATAAAAGAAATCTTTTGAATATAAGGCTCCATGAGTAATATAATGTTCATATGATTATTCATTTCTATTTTTTGTGTCACTAGCTGTCACAGTCATGAACACATGTAGGCAGGCATGTTCAGGAAATAATGAGAAACTATTAACCAGTATGAGAACTAGACTGAAATGATCAGTTAGCAACTACATAGAATGTAATAGATTTCAGAGAAATAATGTAAATAAAAAGTTACTGAAGTAGTGGAATGAGATTGCAAACAACATTTAGAGAGTATCATATTCTGGGGAATCAGATGTTAAAAAAAAGAAAAAAAAAAAAGAGACAGAAAAAACCCACTGTAAAGCAGAAATTCAGGTTCAAAAAAAAAGATACATTCAAACTGACAAGCTAACTTCTTATGTTGCTTCAGAAGGTCGAACGTGGTGTGAAATTGTTTATCAGAAAGTTCTGACATCTTGGAGCTTGTCTGCAATTAGAGACTGGCTTGGGAATAAAAAGACCAGAAGCAAAATAGAAGAAATGCTTCCAGATACAGGTAGTTTGGGTTTGTCTGTGCAGAAATGTGCAAAAATGTGCTTGCTGATTATCAGTGGGAAAAATCACTGCTAGATTTTCTGTCATGTGGTATTGATCTGAGGTATATAATACACACATTTACAAATTGTTTATTGAAAAAACTATTAAAGAACTTGATTACTACTCTTGAGGGACATCTATCTTATAGTTCTTGAAAAAAAGCAGACAGACTCCTCAGAGTGGCAAAGAAATTGGTTTATAAACAAGAGAAACAAGATGTTGACTGTGTACAGCAATTTACAGAAGTCCAATGTGAGTGAAGATAGACAAGGGGGAACAGCGGGAGGAAAGCATGCATTTTGATGGTTAATAACGCTTTTACATGATAAAAACAGGCAGGAAATTCTTTAGTTTGGAGTGTCGAAAATTTTTACAGGCTGAGTAAAACACAAAGGAGCTAGTCATAATATCTATGTCTTTACTGTGAAGGGAATGAAAATAAAAAATAGAGCACTGCAGTGTGATGTATTTTCACAGTACAGTATGCATTCTTATAGAGGTGATCCAATGATATGATTAAGTCACTGCAAGTCCATTAGTAAAGGAAGATAAATGAAAATCAAGGCAGAAGGAAAAGGCTCAGATATGAATATTAGAAAAAAAAGTAAACATATTTGGAAACGTATTTCTAAGAATAATCAGCTGAATCAATCAGGTGTTGTTCCTGATGGTGCAGTGAATTGCTAAGTCATTAATGCCAGAAGCTTGTACAACAAAATGTGAGGGACTGGTATAATGTTAGCTATGGGATATTATAATAGGAAATATGGCAGCGAGGGCTGAAATAATTCAGCCAGACATAGCTAAACAGACTAAAAAGATACTGTAGCCTCTTTGAGGATGTGATAATTTAAAAAGTGGGAGGGAGGGGGTATAAAGCATTAGCTGGAGTATGGATACATATGTAAAAATCACGTGATAAGTCTCCCAACCGGCTCCAAGGTTAGGAGCTGGACAGTGTAGAGGTCTCCATGACATGACTGTAGGCACAAATATAATCTAGAATTTTTTTATTATGTGAGAATCTGTCTTTGCATATGTACATTGGAAGACAACTCCTACTCATGATGACAAGTTGTTCCTGGCTGTGATAGGCATTAGATTTCTTTATCAAATAAACACAGACCCACCCTACTTTCTGTAAGAAATCCATTAATCCAATCCTATAAAACCAGGTAGGACAAGTTAAAAACTTCTAGGAACCATATTTCATAAAGTGGCCTTGATTTTAATGGATATTTTAAATTATATTTTTGTTGCTTGGGGCAAACAAAGGAACACCTCTGATACCAGAAAGGACTTGAGCTACCAGAATGGGTCTCCAGTCTCATAAATACAAAACTGCACATTCTTTGCTCAAAGAATATGGAGAATACAAGACAGCACATGGTATGGTCATCTGCAGGAGGACAGATCTGATCAATAGTTTACAGACACTGGATATGCTAGGAATTCTGGTTAAATTTTAACAAGCAACTTTTCTTTCCAACTTTAAGAAGAAATGCTGAATAGAATACGATGTTTTATCTTTACAATATTACTTGTCCTAAATTGTAATTTAAAATCCATGCCAAACCAGAGGCAAGTAAAAATCAAACAAGGATATTATAAGTTATCTGTTAAATTAACACCTTTTTTTTTTTTTTTCCCCTGACTTCAAATTTCTTTAAGGTTGGAATAAATACACTTCATTCCTTCAACTTGCAGTGACAGTGACATTAAACAGGTAAACTAAATCACACTATCCATTACACCTGAAATTTCATAGACTAATGGCTTATTCTAAAAACTGTAAAAAGCATCTATTTTTCTCAAGACATCACTTTCTACTAGGGATTTTAAAAATTAAGTATCAGTCAAAACTATACATCAAAATATGTTTTAAGAAATAAAAATATATTATGCCCTAAATTTCTCAAGAAAATACCTGCAAACCATCCTGCTCTGCTTTCTTACCTGCATATCTACTGTTCACCGGACCCTCCCAGATATCATCTGGTAGAAGTCATTCTTCTACCTGCTTGCCTATGAGTGATCTTTCCTTTTTCAGTTTCCTCTTACTATATTCAGTTGACTAATTCTTCACAATTTATTCAGGGCACAAGCATACTTGTTCTATAGCTCAATAATATAAGAAACAAAAAAGAAACTGCTATAACTGGACTATTAAGTTTGTGAAAGCTCTGCCATATCAAAGTGAATTAAATATTCATCATTGCCTTACACAGGATATCTCATGATTTCTTAATAGAAATTAAAACTCCCTCCTTCATTCCAACAGATTTTATGCAGTGAAAGCCCAAAGCACATAGGTCACATTGTAATTTAAAACTATAATTTTATGCTACCAGCCAAAGCAATTAATGAGCTGCTTGTGTTTTTGTGACATTGTCAAAATCAAAACGATATCATTCATGGATGATTCAATTATTGCCACTCATTTTCAGGACTGGGAAAAATGACAATAATTCATTGGGCACATTTTATACCACTTGATGCTGCAAATATGTTTACGGTACATTCATTGTGTTCCTGGCTTTCAAGTGTCAAGTTGCCAATTTATTTTTTCCCAGGAAAATTTATTCTGCAAAGCTGACAACCAGTGCCTTACTGACTAGCCCTGGAAAAATACTTACTAGTGCTTCCAGAACCATTGGACAAGCAGAAAAAAAACCATGAGGCAGTGATCTAGCAGTGATTTACTTTTACCCTTCACACCTACTGTGAAATCTTTGAGTTGTATGATGTACACAGTATGACATAGCACAACTGATTTGTTTGGGGGCGGAAGATGAAGGTAAAGAGAGAGCTGCAGGTACCTTCCCTAGTGGCCTTGATTTACCAAGCTCTGCAGATGCCACCAGCTCACTGGTTGTGCCTGGGTGCCTCACCAGAAAGGTGGTGACCATAAATGAGCACATTGCTTTCCCCAACAGTATTACTAGATAATTAATGTAAATAAAAATACTACTAAGAGCTCCAAATATGACCAAAACATTGCATTTTGATTCTAATCTGAAGCAGTGATGCAGTAAAAAAAATTTTGGCATGAAACCAAAATCCCCTGGCACATAGCTGGGTCATGCTCACTGACAAAAATGTGAGTTTGGATTTTACTGGGGGACAACTGTCTTTTGTCGCCATAGTGATCAAAAGGTTAGAAATAGTCTTCTTAAGAGAGTGTAAAACCTATAAAGTTATTTCTTTCTTTTGCCATTTAAAATTAAACTTTATGTTGTGTTTATTCTTTTAAAGAAACTTAGCAAAATTTCAGCTCTTATTTTACTTGTCCCTACCCTCCCAAAACATTTTACATGATGCTTTAGCATTTGTACCTACCCCCAATCAGCATTGTGCAAATGGAGAAGATCTTTTCAGCATCAGTATTAGCTGAAACATTTCCAAACCCAACACTGGTGAGGCTGCTGAGGGTGAAATATAGGGCAGCTATATAGGCACTTCTGATTGATGGGCCTCCTAGTGTATTATTCTCATAGTAAGGAGACTCAATACGTTTTCCTAGCTCATGAAGCCAACCTGAAAAACAAAGCATAAAAAAAACCTATTAAGGAATACTGACACCATGAAAACTACACGTTCTATAAAACAAAATAATTCTAAAAAAAATATATATATATTTAGAAGATACCACATTTTTCACACATTTCCAAGAATAAAAGAACATTAAACTGTATCAATTTCTGTAGCACGCTATGTATTGTGTCTCTGGAGTATTTGTTTTATTTCTGATAAGAACTGTATTTCTGTATGTAAATCAAGTGGTTTTGAATTGCATATTACAGGTCTAATTAGATAATTCACAAAATCCATTAAGGCACTGAAAAGAAAAAATCATCACCTAATAACACTGCAGCAAGAATGCAATATAATTTTTATTCTTTCCATTAATTAATGCTTGGGAAGATTTTTGAGACTCTAAGACTAAATTGTTATAATAATTACATATTTAGAGCTTTTTACATGTTTCTTTTTACAGTAGAAAAGATTCAAATAACTAAACATAACTTACAAACCAGAATTAATTTTCAAAAGATGCTTCAGTAAGTATTTTCTAAATTGTTCATTTAATCTTTCCTTTCATTATGCTAAATGAGTCTGTGTGCTAGAGAAAGTAGAATTAGTTACTGCCTCATAGATATTTAAAAATCAGCAACAACCCAACAAAAAAAACCTCCAAAGCAACAAACAGGGAAAAGCATGCAGTTCCTCTTTTGGAAAAGGAAAACAAACAACCTGAATGAATTGCATAAACACAATGCTTCATAAAAATCAAGATAGGGGAAAAAAAAAAAAAGATATAAAAATCAGTTTTCATGCCCAGTTTTGCCTGTTAAGCAGTTTGCTTGGGAGACTGAGAATCTTTCCTGGATATTCAGGGACAACTGCCAAACCAAAATATTCTTGGTAGGCAGAGTTTTATTTTAGAAACATTGGTTGGGGGTCCCCCTGTTGTAAGCTGAGACCTGACAGACTGAATCACCTCATGAAGCTTATTCTCTCTCCAGTTCAGTCAGCATCCATTTCTTCTTTTTGGATGAATTTGAGTATGAACTGGGGGAAACCCCCTTGTGCAGAATATCTGCAAAAGTAGGGGGCAGATTTAAATATCTGTCCCAAGAACTTCCAGTCAAGTTGGAGCAAAAGTCTGTAAGAATTTACCACCTAGAGCAGACTTGCTGAGCCATGACTGCTGCCATCCCCAACTCCATACTCTTTTGCATGCTCTCCTGCAGAGAAAGCTAAGCCAGGAGGGCTGGGTAATGACAGGGTAAGGTCTAGCCATGACCCTGCTGACCCTATGCAGCCTAGTGAATGTAAACAAAAGCATAAATGAAAGCATTCTGCATTGTCATAAGATGGCTGTACTGAGTGGGCTGGTTTACCTTGTCAACAGACAAGAAAGCATATGAAAATCTACTTGATTTTTGCCTTGATAGAAAGTATTAATCACGAGGCTATTTTTTATTTGTGGATCCCAATTATTTAAAATGAAAGAAAAGCAAAACTAAAACCAAAAGCCTCACTAAAACAATACCGGTTCTCTCTCTGTGCACCACTTTTTTCCTGAGATTATATTATATTTCCCCAACAATAATATGTCCCCAACAATAATATGTCCCTTTGTACAGCAGATTTCATTCCTATGCTCATGTTAGGGAATTTAATCCCACACATTCAAGAATAAAGAACAAAAATCTAAGGAAATTCCTGGCAGAGAGCAGACAGAGCTTAAAAAAATTCTACCTAAATCTAATGCTTATTCAATAATACAGTTCAATGTCAGTTTTTGAAAATATTCTAGTCCTATGAAGAAATTATTTTAAATACTTGTAATTTATGCATGAATGCTGAAATAATGCCTCTTAGGAGAAAATCTCTTTCCTGAGCGCATTCTAAAAGCCACTGATTCTTGGCCTCTTATTCCCATTTTTCTGCCTCTTGTTATCTGAATGAATTTCACGTTCATTGTTCCTGGTGGTCATATTGCATCTCACTGGAAGTTTCTCTACCTCAGTTTCAGCTGTCAAACAACAACAACAAAATGTTTACCTATTGTAACTTCATATAAAACAAATATGGCCTCACTGTTAGACTAATACATATTCAATCCTATCCAGAAAAGGTATATGACTCCATTCTTTAACTGATAAGATATATGTAAACTGTTTTCTCCTTTACAACACACTTTATGTTCAAGGTTATCAAGCAAAACCCCCAACCCTACTGAAATATCATTGTTCCTAGAGGATGCATTACTGCTAGTAAAGGTAAGGTACAAAAAATAAATGCCTACATTGTATCAAACAATAGAAGTCCCTATAATATCTCTTAATATAATTCTATTACCAAACAACCAAATAGAATATTAGCATTTCACAGTTGCTAACAAGAACTTCTGCCAGGGTACCGGTGTTTGAGATGAGTTCAGCACTCTGTGCCCAGTTCCGTGGCGTAACTGAGGGTCAGACAAATGATCTTAATCAGCAAGATGAATGGCTTATCACTGAGCTACAACAGTAACAGTTAGCAATTATTAACAATTGTTAACAAGTGCTAAAAAAAAAAAAAATATAAAAAAATGTCCACTATATAAAGAAAAACTATTAGGTAACTTTCTTTAAAGATGGACCATGAGATTTGGAAGAGAAAATGTATATCTGAAAGTGAAAACCTAATAAATATATTCCCCTGATTTGTAGATAAGGACATGGTAACAGCTTCTTATTTCTATTCTGTTTTTTAGAGATGATACTTATCAGGACCTTTTGAAGACATTATATAGGATGAGGTTTCAGCCAAAGTATTTAAAATGCTGCAAGATCTTCCAGATTAACTATACTTAGATTTTTGTTGACAACACAACATCATTTTCCCTTTGGGAATAGAGAAAATATACTGTTGGCTGTAAATACTTTCATTAGCCAATGGAAATAGTTTTGAGACAGCATGATTGACTAATGCCTTTTACTTTTTTGGTTTCTGTAGGTAACAGCTCTCAGCAGATTCTCTGGCAGACTTGGGTAATTAATTTCTGCCCTCAGGGTAGAAGAGAAAAATAAATATACCTTGTAGTCAGAGGAAGCTTCCTAGAATTTAGCCTTATGAATGCTGTCTGGTTCTGAATTAGCATTATCTAGATATAGCTCTGTGACTTTGAAAACATTTTTAAGTACCAATTACTGTAATTAAGAGGAAGACTTTTCAATGGGAAAAAGAGCACTTAAGTAATCAAGTCCCATTGGAAAAGTCAATAGGAATTGGATATCTAGCTCCTTTAGGCTACTTTGAAAAATGCTGGAAGAATCTGTATTGAGTTTCATTTACCTTTATTTGGGAAGATCTCAAGTACCAGCATAAACATAAACAAGCATTTAAGCATCTGTAGATGTCATACTTTATAACTGAATGTGAAACACATTATCTCGTTTTACTGGACAAGCAGAAACTCAGTCTTCCCTTAGTCTGGTGCTTGCACTGCACTGAGCAGGCACATTGCTCCCTATGTTTTGCAGATTCATTCTATGCTACTACTTAGGTTTTCCTTATATGCCAGACAACACCAAAATCCCATACAGTGTTTCAACAACTTAGAAATTAGTTGCATTAATTACCTACAGTGTTTATTCTATAAAACAGCCAAACCATTTTTTTCCAGTTAATATGTAGACCAAAACTCTCTGGTTTACTCTGGAGTACTGCATCGGGCAGGCAAAACAGTATGGATGAGGAATATCTCTTAGAGCATCCCTGAATGCCTGAAAGCAGGAATGGTTCTCCAATAGACCAGTGGTGAAGATGTTAGAACAGAAAGAATGGGACAAAGGCCCACCTCCTCTTAGCTGTTGTTACATATGAAATTCAGAGACTTCAGGTATTTCCTGGGGAAATGTGAAGGTAGAAAAGCTTATCTGCTCCTGCATCATCACCTTTTTGTGTTTAAACAGTATTTGAACCTCATTTAGGGCCAGACCATACTTAGCTCTTTCATGCTAGTGAGGAGAGTAATCAATGTTGTGCTGATAGTAGGGAAGAGATGTAATATTAATGTAATTAGTAGTTCTGGGGTAAACTAAAGGACACTGTCAACTGCGCTTTATCTATAAGGTCTATATTTCAGGCTGACTTATGTTTTCCTGGCTTGACTAAAAAAACTTTGGAGCTCTAAATGAAAGTACAAAAGATGGCAATGTCTTTATACTTCTTCAAAATCTACAACTCTACCTCATGAAATAACACGTGATACTAAACCATCTAAAAGCACACAAAACCTACAAATACTGGAGAACAAAAGGCAAAAAATACAAATAAACCACTAAACACTGACAAATAGTAACAAAAAAAAAATTGTACTGAACTGGAGCACATACAGCCTTCTGATATAAATAGATTACAACTTTTAACACCGAAGTCTATGTTTTATGCCTTGTTACAGCAAAAAGTTTAGGGTCATCAAGGAAAAGATAAAAACTATACAAGAGAAATTAATTTTTTTGTCACTAGAATGTATTTTTAAATGAAAATCACCATGTGCCCTGATTGCTCTGTTGACTCCCACTGCAGCATTCCCTGGTCACTGCTGATAGCTCCTCATTTCAGATCTAGAGTCAGGCAGCAAGGAGCTGTAAATTTGCATGGGAAACCACACCACCCTTTCATTACACAGCTGCACACTCCCCCCTGCAAACAATTATCCCATGTTTCCATTTTTAATGGGGGAAAACTGTTTCAAAGATCCCACTGGTCTCAATGAAGCCAAGATTTTAGCTTTGGTCTCTCTCTAAGTCCTTGAAACATTAATCCCCAAAAAATAAACCTTAGGGCAAAACAGTTGCTAAGATAGAACAAATAGGCCAATTCACTTCTTTTCAGGTAAAACCACTTGTGATTACAGTCTCTGTGAGATACATGTCCAAACCACTTCCATCAAGTGTCCATGTTGCTTCTTTAGAAGAGCATTTGAGGGAGAACAGAGCTAATATATAAGATGTTACCATCATTTTGTATAAGAGTATAAT